ATTTTGATGCATGGAAAAGGGGAAAAATATGTTACATCACAATACAAAAATTCAACAATACGTATCGTGGATACTGACATTATGTATCGTGGATAGTCCCCCTAAAATAAAAAATAAAAAAATTACTGTGAGAAAAAAAATCAAGTTTTCAGAGTTTTAGTGTCAGTACTACATTAAACTACTACTATATAATGTTGATTATAATGTATAATTAATGATGCAATGGGGGAATATTTGTGGGTCCAGTATGATACCACTAAAAAGTGGCCGACATTATTTAAAATTTATTTTAATAATCAAATAATGTAATTATACACTATACAAAATGCTGGTTGTATTAACCCAATTTTGGGTCAAATATGGAACCCAAAAAGTTTGAACCCAAATTTGGGTAAAAAATTCCAATCGTAAATTTTTTAATTTCACTTTTAACCCAACATTTGGGTTTGTCCATATTTGACCCAAATTTGGGTTGAAACAACCCAGCATTTTTTAGAGTGTACATTTGTTTTGCTTCATTTTTATATATAATAATAATTATAATAATAATAATTTTTATTATTATTATTATTATTATCATTGTAGTACTGATTATTATTGTCAAAAATTACATAAAATAAACATACACTCTAAACAATGCTGGATTTATTTTTATTTTTTTTGATGCATTTGATTTAAAATGTATTTTAATAATCAAATAATGTAATTATACACTATAAAAAATGCTGGGTTGTTTTAATCCAATTTTGGTTCAAATATGGACAAACCCAGCCATTGGGTTACATTTTTGAATTACATTTTTAACCCAGTGGCTGGGTTTGTCCATATTTTACCCAAATTTGGGTTAAAACAACCCAGCGTTTTTTAGAGTGTACATTTGTTCAGTTTCATTTTTATATATAATGATAATTATAACTATTACGATTATTATTATCATTGTGGTACTGATTATTATTGTCAAAAATTTACATAAAATAAACATACACTCTAAACAATGCTGGGTTGTTTGAACCCAAATCTGGGTAAAATACTGTATGGACAAACCCAAATGTTGGGTTAATAAAATTAATTTCAAATTTCACTTTCAATTGTACATTTTTTTAATTTCACTTTTAACCCAACATTTGGGTTTGTCCATATTTGACCCACATTTGGGTTGAAACAACCCAGCATTATTTAGAGTGTATAAACATATTTATTAATAATAATAAGAATTATTTTGAAAGTGTGCAAGCATATTCATCTACAATGACTCGGTAATTCTGGTGTCACCATTTTGCTTGGGTTACGAGCACCAAGTCCAAACGTAATCAAAGTTAGCATCAACAGTACTTTTTTTTTTTTTAATCTTGGAGTATCGCAATAATATCGTATCGTGTGATATGTATCGAATCGTGACATGAGGGTGTCGTTACACCCCTCACAACTATTGACTCGTTCCTAAACCCTGAATGAAAGAGCGCTGGTGTCGTGTTTGTGCTGAAGCGATAGACAGCGCTGTGAGGGCTGAAGGGTGAAGATTGTGTATTTGCATGATTTACTCCATTGTAATTATCTGAAGGGTAAAGCGGCTTTTCCGGCACTGAGTAATGAATATGTTGTTTTACATCATCAGCAGCCTCCATCAGCGTGATGAGAAGGTAATTACTATTATTTTGTCGGGTGTTTTTTCGAAAGGGCCAATGTAAGCGGCGTCTAGATCAATCTACTTAATGAAACATTATTTGATTATATAAACAGATGACCCGAGGATACAACTAATTAGCCTTTACAAATGGCAGAGTTTTCAGTTTGAAGCTGAAAAGAAAGAAATACCTGGAAACTATTGCTTAGATGTCTCATTTAAAGAGACGGTTCACTTAAAATTAATACAAGGTGGGTTTTTTTTGTCTTTTTAAACTTAAAGGGATAGTTCACTTTGAAATTAATTTTTGGTATGTTTTAGCTTATACCTCAAGGGCATCCAAGATGTCTTTGTTTCCGCAGTAGTTTCAATTTTGACATTTTTAGGTCAAGCCGTTCTTGTCTTTCATTCATATAATGGAGGTCTATGGTCACCACCTCAAAGAGCATGCACAGAGAAGTCCAAATTAAACATGATTTAATGACTCGAAAATGTAAGATGGGCTAAGACATGAAACGAGCGGTTTGAGTGAGAAAATGAACAGTTTTTATATTGTTTTTACCTTTTTCGTTTTATCACATGGACGCGGCTGTGGTTACAAGAGGTAAAAACGATATAAATACTGTTCGTTTTCCTCACACAAACCGCTCGTTTCAGGTCTTAGGCCATCAATGTGTACTTGCATTTACGAGTCATTAAATCATGTTTAATTTGGACTTCTCTGTGCATGATTTTTGAGGTGGTGACCATAGACCTCCATTATATGACTGACAGACGAGAACGATTTGACCTAAAAAAATTACTGTGTAAACAAAGACCCCTACATCTTGGATGCCCTCGAGGTAAGCTAAAACAGCAAAAATTTATTTCAAAGTGAACTATCCCTTTAAGAAAGAAGGATTAAAGATACTTTTGTTCAGCAAGGATGCATTACATTTTATCGCATTACAAGATTTCAGAGAAGAAAGCAAGTCAGTCAGGTTTTATAGATGCTTGTTATTAAACTATCACTTTAATGTGAGTATTTCGAGATTTTCTTGGAAGAAGAAAGAAGATAAGTCACATTAAAATCATTCTCAGAATCCAAATGTCCACCGTTTGAGGACAAACAATCAGCAAGAGTGTGTTAAAAATAATCAGCACCCCCGGGTCACGAAGGCTTGAACTGCAGTGTTGAAAGACAAGCCGGCCGGTGTCCGTCTGAGCAGACGCTAGCGGCGGTGACTTCCATAAATCTCTGCCCGCGGCTGATAAGTTTAAAGCGAGACGTTAATTTGAGGACCATATGGTGGACTGGCAGTATTTTAGAAGCTGCTGTCTGCATCACATAATATGATATCCACTTCATTTGAGAGCAAGGTGAGAAAAGGACTCGGGAGAGTCCCGCTGGCATAACACCTTCTCAAGCCTGCTTTTTGTTTTGTAATTTGAAACATGGATTGAGAAGAATTTTTATCACTAAAAATGTGTTAAATCCTTTATTAATTAATAATAATAGTAATTAAATAAAAGTATATACACTCTAAAAAATGCTGGCTTGTTTTTAACTCAGTTTTGGGTCAAATATGGACAAACCCAGCAATTGGGTTACATTTTTGAATTACATTTTTAACCCAATGGCTGGGTTTGTCCACATTTGACCCAAAATTTGGTTAAAACAATCAAGCATTTTTTGGAGTGTACATTTGTTTTGTTTCATTTTTATATATAATAATAATTATTATTATTTTTATGATTATTATTATCATTGTAGTACTGATTATTAAAAAAAAATACATAAAATAAATATACACTCTAAACAATGCTGGGTTGTTTGAACCCAAATTTGGGTCAAATATGGACAAACCCAAATGTTGGGTTAAAAAAAATTAATTTCAACTCTCACTTTCAATTTTAAATTTATTTATTTCACTTTTAACCCAACACTTGGGTTTGTCCATATTTGACCCAAAATTGGGTTAAAACAACCCAGCATTTTTTAGAGTGTACATTTATTTTGTTTCATTCTTATGTATAATAATAATTATAATTATTATGATTATTATTATCAATGTAGTACTGATTATTATTGTCAAAAAAATTACATAAAATAAACATACACTAAACAATGCTGGGTTGTTTGAACCCAAATTTGGGTCAAATATGGACAAACCCAAATGTTGGGTTAACAAAATTAATTTCAAATTTCAACTTTCACTTTCAATTGTAAATTTTTTTAATTTCATTTTTTAACCCAACATTTGGGTTTGTCCATATTTGACACAAATTTGGGTTCAAACAACCCAGCATCGTTTAGAGTGTATAAATGTATTTATTGATACACTCTTAAAAATGCTGGGTTGTTTTAACCCAATTTTGGGTCAAATATGGACAAACCCAAAATGCTGGGTTAAAAATATAATGTAAAAATTTAACCCAACGGCTGGGTTAGTCCATATTTGACCCAAAGTTGGGTTAAAACAACCCAGCATTTTTTAGAGTGTAATAAGAAGAATAATGACATATCATCTGTAACGCTGATCCAAAGAAGATGACGATGATTAGGAAATAAAACAGCATTTATTAAAGATCTCAGAATAGGCGGGCAAATAACAATCCAAATGACGCGAAACAATACTGAAAACTGAACACACACTCTAAACAATGAACCCAAAATTTGGGTAAAATATGGACAAACCCAAATGTTGGGTTAAAAATGTAATTTCAAATTTTAACCCAACTTCAACTTTCAATTTCAACTGTATTTTTGTTTTATTCCATGTTTAACCCAACATTTGTGTTTGTCCATATTTTACCCAAATGTGGGTTCAAACAACCCAGCATTTTTTTAGAGTGTGAGAACGGATACAAACAAGGAAATAAACAACACACAGTGTGATAATCAGTGTCCATAGAAACGCATGATGGTGGAAAACAGACAAAGGGGAACATGTGACTATAAAAAACAAACTAAAAGTCCATGAAAACGAAAATTAGATGAAAACGGCGTCCAAACAAAACAGAACAGTGACACTCTTTCATCATAAATACTTTTTGTTTTGTATTTGAAACATGGACTCTGCAAGGATGTTAAGAGTAAATTGTTGTACACATATAATGTGGTAAATTATTAAATGAACAATATAATAACGATACACTCAAATGCTGGGTTGTTTCAACCTGATTTTGGGTCAAATATGGACAAACCCAGCCATTAGGTTAAAAATGTAATTTAAAAATGTAACCAAATGGCTGGGTTTGTCCATATTTGACCCAAATTGGGTTAAAACAACCCATTCAACTTAAATATTCAATGAACTTTTATAACACGTGAGTTATATTTGTACCACAATATCTAAATTATAATTATTTTGATGTATTTTTCTCTGTGTTTCAGAATTCTTTCTGGAGTTGCTGGACAACTCGGAAAAGTCTCTGAACGACATGTTCGTGCGCACATACGGCAAACTGTACACACACAACTCTGAGATGTTCGAGGACCTGTTCTCCGAGCTCAAGCGCTACTACACCGGGGGAAACGTGAACCTCGAGGAGGTTCTGAATGACTTCTGGTCGAGACTTCTGGAGCGCATGTTTCAGCTGCTGAACTCTCAGTACACCTTCACTGACGACTATCTGGAGTGTATCAGCAAATACACCGACCAGTTGAAACCCTTTGGAGATGTTCCACGCAAGCTCAAGGCCCAGGTCACCAAGGCCTTTATCGCGGCTCGATCGTTCGTCCAAGGACTCATGGTGGGCCGGGAAGTGGCCAACAGAGTGGCGAAGGTAAGGCATCTATTTTTATCTATTTTCATCATATTATCTATTTTTAAGTCTTCCTGGTCTTACTCCGCTTTCATTGACGTCTAGACGGGTCAGTGGCTTCCAGCGCCTGTCCATGAAATAGACCTGGAGAAAACCCCAGTGAACCACAGAGTTATGTTTAGCTGTTATATTATATTTTATTAATCATATTATATTATATTAAAGTAGTATTTCTAATATGATATATATATATATATATATATATATATATATATATATACACACACATTTATACAAAATTATTATATATAATATTTGCCGTTATATTGTATTATATTAATGTAATTTATGTACATAATTCATAAATAATTTGATAAAATATTTATATATATATATAATTTATATATATATATATTAATTGGCTTTATATTATATTACTGTATATTATTTTATATTATATTATATTACATTCATACAATTTATCTAAATAATTCATCTATATATATATGTGTGTGTGTGTGTGTGTGTGTGTTTATTAAAAATTATATATATATATATATATATATATATATATATATATAATGTTAGTTAGTTAGTTAGTTAGTTAGTTAGTTAGTTAGTTAGTTAGTTAGTTAGTTAGTTAGTTAGTTAGTTAGTTAGTTAGTTAGTTAGAAAAAAAAAACTTTTTAACCCAGTGTTTGGGTTTGTGCATATTTGACCCAAAATTGGGTTAAAACAACCCAGCCTTTTTTAGTGTAGTGTAGTTAGTTAGTTAGTTAGTTAGTTAGTTAGTTAGTTAGTTAGTTAGTTAGTTAGTTAGTTAGTTAGTTAGTTTAAAAAAAATAACCCAGTGTTTGGGTTTGTCCATATTTGATATTTAAAACATATTTAAAATAACCCAGCCTTTTTTAGAGTGTTAGTTAGTTAGTTAGTTAGTTAGTTGGTTGGTTGGTTGGTTGGTTGGTTGGTTGGTTGGTTGGTTGGTTAGTTCTAAATTCTGAGATTTTCGGGTCACGCAAAACGTAAACCATAAGCCTGTGCTTACTTAAAAGCCATTCTTGTGTATGTATTTTTCTAAAGGCCACTAGATATCATGTCTCCATCTGTGCTAATGCATGGTACAGCACAGAAGCTGTGTGTGAGCTTTGATGTGACGGCTCACACCGTACAGGTCATGACTTCAGCCGTGAGCCGAGGTGCCCTGCGGAGCGATGGACGCTTTCTGAAGGGAAGATAAAAGCGTGTGGCCGTCTCCAGATCCCTCTTTGATAGCTCGTCTCAATCACATTTTCCGCTGGATGCTGAGGCTGTTTAATGGCGTACTGGATGATTATAAGCATTATTGACAGATTTGAAAAAGCCCAGAGAATGTGAGACGGCCGGGCCCGGTCTGCTCCGAGTGCTTTTGCTTAGAGATAATAGTTAAGCTGCTTTTGTGTTTGTGTCATCGGTGATGTCAAAGGTAATAAGAAAGTGTGTGTTGTTTCATGCATTATACTGCCCTCTGTGATGTCAGAGAGCTCGTCACATCTGGCGTAGCTACAGTAATATAGGTGAGGGTTGGGCATTATACACTCTAAAAATGCTGGGTTGTTGTTTTAACCCAACTTTGGGTCAAATATGGACAAACCCCAAAATTAGGTTAAAAATGTAACCTAGCCGGCTGGGTTTTTCCATATTTGACCCAAAGTTGGGTTGAAACAACCAAGCATTTTTTTAGAGTGTGCCAAATTGTGAATTGTTTGTGAAAGTCTGTGTATTGGCCATATATCTGAAACTATCAGCTTTAAAACGGGTTCGTAGAACTCAGTGGAACCACATACTGGGCAAAAAGGCAATCAGGTCCACATAAATGTGTGTGAATTTGTGCTTTTGTCACTTTGACAGAGTTCACATGAGTTCACATGAAAGCATGAGCTGGACTATTCTTAGCCAATCAGGCTGTATTGTCTGTAATGGCGGCTCTGGCCAATCGACATCAGTCGAAAGAGCCTCACATATTGTGTTTGGTAATGAAGTATAATTGTCATTAGGAGAAGTGTTATTGAGGAACGCTTCAACGCTGCTTACTGGGACCGCACACTCTAAAAAATGCTGGGTTGTTTCAACCCAATTTTGGGTAAAATATGGACAAACCCAAACGTTGGGTTAAAAATGTAATTAAAAAAAATAACCCAATGGCTGGGTATGTCCATATTTTACCCAAAATTGGGTTGAAACAACCCAGCATTTTTTAGAGTGCAGGCTTGACATACTTGAAACAAACAGTCTGTAATTACTCCTTTGGACTCTCCAAATAATTTTAAGAAAATGTATTATAGCTGAATTTAAGTTGCAAGAACATTGCAACGATCCTTTAATTTAATAAAGTGTTTTATGAGTGGACGAGGAGTGTATAGGCCTATCACTGTACAAAATGCTGGGTCGTTGGGTCAAATATTGGGTTAAAAATGTAATTAAAAAAATGTACAGTTGAAAGTGAAAGCTGTTTAAAATTTTTAACCCAACATTTGGGGTTTGTCCATTTTTGACCCAAATTTGGGTTAAAACAACCCAGCAGTGTTTTAGAGTGTATGCAAAATTATTGATACAATTATTGATACCCTCAAATTTAAACTTATATTTTACTCAAATATCACAAACTGTGCAGTTTGATGAGGACAGATGCTGATATTGTTTCTGAGTGATTAAACTGAACACCCTAGCAACCACATAGCAACTCTATCTTTATGGCACCACTCAATCAGATCTTGTTTATTGATTTTAATCTTAATTGATATTGATTCATCATTGAATTACAAAAGCAGGTTTTTTTAAAATATATATAGATCTGTCACAAATTGTGGTTTTATGACAGCTATAAAATGTATTATAGCTGAAGTTAAGTTGCAAGAAAATTGCAACGATCCTCTAATTTAATAAAGTGTTTTATGAGTGGATGAGGAATGTATAGGCCTATCACTGTACAAAATGCTGGGTCGTTTCAACCCAAATTTGGGTCAAATATGGACAAACCCAAATATTGGGTTAAAAATGTAATTTAAAAAAAATTACAGTTGAAAGTGAAAGCTGTTTAAAATTTTTAACCCAACATTTGGGTTTGTCCATATTTGACCCAAATTTGGGTTAAACAACCCAACAGTGTTTAGAGTGTATGCAAAATTATTGATACGATTAATGATACCCTCAAATTTATACTTATATTTTACTCAAATATCTCAAACTGTGCAGTTTGATGAGGACAGATGCTGATATTTTTTTCTGAGTGATTAAACTGACACCCTAGCAACCACATAGCAACTCTATCTTTATGGCACCACTCACTCAAATCTTGTTTATTGATTTTAATCTTAATTGATATTGATTCATTATTGAATTACAAAAGCAGTTTTTTTCAAATATATTTAGATCTGTCACAAATTGTGGTTTTAGATAAACAGAAAGAGGAAGCCGTATTTTGTATCATTTTAATGGAAAATGCCCATTGGTGAACGTTTTTCTTGTTCTGTAGTATTTTTGAAATCCATCTGATGCTTCAGAAAGAATCCAGAAGAGCTTCACTTTACAGCTACAGCTACACTAATCTTTATTTATTATTTTTTTAGCTACAAAGAACACACTCTAAATCCAAAAAGGCTTCTTAAGTAAATGAAATGGTGTTTGCAATTGCATCAAACCGTGAGCTGTGGGGTTTGTGATGATGGCAGAAGTCTCTCGCTGGGCTGTGCATCAGATAGGCCGCACTAATGGCTGTGTTGTGATGCAGTGTGTGTTGTGTGCTAATGGACTGGGCTGTTTTCATGGACCTGTGTGGGGCAGTGATGTCACGGACCTGATGAAGGACACCTGAAGAGAAATACACCAGCGTGCTGTTTACATGCACAAGCACACTCGTATACCCAGCCCTGATGCTCTCGTCACTTTGACATTTTGCTGTGAAAAACAAGCTAATTTCAGTGCAAGAACTTGGTGTTCCTGCTATAAACGTTTGATTAAATACATTTTTAGTTTTATAATTGGATTTTATCATTAACAGATTATAGTATTGTATTTATTTGTATGTGTTTGAAAAATATAATATAATATATGTTTAATTTTTATACATAATATAATAGGTCTGCAAGGCGTTGTGATTAACTTTTAAGAGAAAACTCCTAGCTAAAATATTTTAGTGAGATTGAGGAGTACTCCTAGTGGGAAGATAAAATTCTTTGTGAATACGGCCCCAGGTCAAGACAATCTCCTGAACTCCAAACTGAATGTCAGAATGGGAAAGAAAGGTGATTTAAACAATTTTGAGTGTGGCATGGTTGTTGGTGTCTGAGTGTTTCACAATCTGCCCACCGGGTACCACTCATCTCCACCACAAATAGGAAAAAGAGGCGACGATTTGCAAGAGCTCACCAAAATTGGACAGTTGAAGACTGGAAAAATGTTGCCTGGTCTGATGAGTCTCGAGACATTCAGATGGTAGAGTCAGAATTTGGCGTAAACAGAATGAGAACATGGATCCATCATGCCTTGTTCCCACTGTGCAGGCTGGTGGTGGTGGTGTAATGGTTTTCTTGGCACACTTTAGGCCCCTTAGTGCCAATTGGGCATCGTTTAAATGCCACGGCCTACCTGAGCATTTTGTTTCTGACCATGTCCGTCCCTTTATGGCCACCATGACCCCATCCTCTGATGGCTACTTCCAGCAGGATAATGCACCAAATTGGTTTCTTGAACATGAAAATGAGTTGACTGTACCAAAATGGCCGCCACAGTCACCAGATCTCAACCCAATAGAGCATCTTTGGGATGTGGTGGAACGGGAGCTTCGTGCCCTGGATGTGCATCCCACAAATCTCCATCAACTGCAAGATGCAAACCTATCAATATGGGCCAACATTTCTAAAGAATGCTTTCAGCACCTTGTTGAATCAATGCCACGTAGAATTAAGGCGAAAGGGGGTCAAACACAGTATTAGTATGGCATTCCTAATAATCCTTTAGGTGAGTGTGTATAATATAATTATATA